CGTCTCGGAAGAGAAACAGCAGAAGCCTGTCACAATCAATGCAGTTAAAGGCGACTTAAGAAAACATATGCAATACCCTTTTGTTTACCAACACAGAACACATTTCTGTCGTTCGCAGAAAGAAAGGCAAAGCAGTAATAAACGGTGACGAAGGAACATAAAAAAGTGCGCTTGAATCAAAGAACTTTTTGTTAAAGCTCAGTTAGGAAGATCGTTTCCTTTCGGGTGGATTTCTACTTTATTAAATCCTCATTTTTGCTTTCTAACATTATTTCCACTTCATATTTCACCACTTTTAAACAATCAACCTTCGTTCTGCGTCGTACGATCAGCTGCTGGATTGAGCATCATGTTGCACCAGCTTTAAGTAAGTCTGAACGTAGCGGACGAATCGCTGAAACTTAGTTATAACAGTAAAATTAAACGGAACAGTTTGACATTTTGGAGAATAGGCTTACTTATTTCTTGCCGAGTTAGCTGAGAAGATAGACACGTCTCTCGGGTGTCTGCAAGTTAAATATGAAGCTACTGTTAGCAGCTGGCTAACTTAGCTTAGCATAAAGACTGGAAACGGGGAAACAGCTTGTTTGTTTTCTCTGTCAAGAAAACAAACCTATTTAAGATTTGAAAATCTGGAAATAATAGAGATTTAGCATCAATTCAGTGGTGGAAGAAGTATTCAAATAATTTAAAAGTATTAATATCCGTGTGGAAATACTCTGTTATAAGGAAACATTCTGCATTCAAAATCTGTGAAAAGTAAAGTACATTATAAGCAACAAGATAAAGTACTCATAATGTGGATACTCCCAGTGTACTATTATATTATTGGATACTGTTATACTATCATGAATGTATTAATATGTAAGCTGTACTTTAATGTTGTCATTTTAACTACTTTGAATACTTTTGGTAGTTTCATCTGTAATAATGGATCCTTTTTTTATAAACTTGTGTATTTTGTGCGTAAAACGTTAATATAGCTTTTAAACAAATGTCGTGAGGTTAAAAGTACTAAGTATCATTAAACGTAAGTATACAAATTAGTAGTATTTCCACCACTGATGGAGTAAATAAAGCAGGTTTAATAGCAGTTAGTGTCGACACTAGACTTACAAACAAACTTCAGCTGGTGCAACTGGCCGCTGATCTTTAAACTCAACAAACTCAAAGGAGTTAGTTTCACTTCAAACACACCTGGCGTGTGTTTGAACCTTTGGGCGAAGTAAGAAGTTAAGTTGCTTTTCATTGTTAAGCTCTCTGAAATCAACTTTGGTACAATGAATACAAAGAAAACATTCCTCAATGACTACATTCAATCTAGGATCAGGAAAACAAAATCTTAAAATCTGCAGGTTTGGTGTAATTGCATCGTCCCGTGAAGGACTGATGACGTCAGGCGGCCACCTCTCGATCCCCCGCTGGCTCTGAATCTTTTAAACTCTTTGACTAATGGACTCCAGTTCAAGTTTATACTCTGGACGACCCCGAGCTGCTTTTAGCCTTCCATCGTGTGTGTGTGTGTGTGTGTGGGGGGGGGGAGTTATTGTATTTTAGGATTAAGGATTAGGAATCTATTAAATGCCACTTTCTGAAATAAGTGAGCGGTGAGTCGACTCTCTGAGGCTTTGCTTCAATTTGAGCACAACTGTTTGTTTTAAAGGATAAGTTTGGTAATATTCTTGATTTTCTTCTTGTCAATAAATCCCATGAAATCACAAAAAACAAATGTAACTGTATCTACTAATTATTAGAAACTAATTTATTTCGACTCATTCACCGTCCCGCTAGAACACCAGATGTGGATCAATCCGCCGCTGAAAATAGTCCCCAACGGATGCTCCATTTCCTCTTCTCTGAGGCGTTTGCTGAAAACATATTGAACATTGTATTTGTACTTTGTTTCCTGTTTTTTAAGAACTGCATTTTGTTTTCGGTCTTTCGATGGGATTTCATGACGATAACAAAAACTACCTTTAAAATGTGACTCTTCCGATATCGCGCTTGTATTTGACAAACTTTCATGCAAAGACGAACTAGTTAACGCAGAAATACGTTCTTTCACACCTATAAAATGCATCATACTGTCATCGATTCCCATTAGTTCAGATGTGAAATTGTTTTGTAAACCTACCTGGAACCAGGGTCCGCACATAACGGCCATCCTGTTTGTTCTCATGAACCACAGAGGATCCGTTTGCATGGTTGGCTGAACGCCCGCTCATGGAGGCGCCACGAACACTCAATTTAAAACAAAAGAAGCTTCGAGACACTATGATGGCAAGACAGGAAAAAAAAAAAGGTAACGTCTTTAAAACAGTGTAAAACTTTTGATAAATGATTCAAATGTTTAGTTTTTAAAAAACAAGCATGTGAAGTTAAGGTGCGTCCGGGTTGGTTTGGTCTGAGAGAGCATGAGGTTTCTGTTGCAACAGCAGCCAGGCGGGCCCACGATGTGTACCGATCACTTTAATCTAATCTCTCCCGGCTGCGTCATCCTCAGACCCACGAGGACCCGGCTGCGTCATCCTCAGACCCACGAGGACCCGGCTGCAGGCGTGGTGCCAGAGAAACGCTTCCGACAGCAGGTTAATGCACGTGACGAGGGTTCACCTGCTTCACCTGGTTTGTTTTTCTGTTGCTTTAATTAAAACGTGTGGGGACATTTGACCCTTTTAGTTTGTTTACACGACGAACAACCAGCGTCGACAAGTGAGAGGAAAACCTGCCGAGTGGAGAGAAAGGGAACGCTCGACAATCAGAGGTTCCTCTTTACCAACGTGTCGAAGCTCACGAGATCAGAGTCAAAGGAATCTAAAGTAAAAGTACAAAAGTATTTAAAAATATACTTAAAGTACTCATTATGCAGAAAGGCTCCTTTCAGAATGAATATATATTATTGGATTATAATATAGATTAATGCATTATCGTGTTCGTCTCTTTAATTTTGCAGCTAGTAAAGGTGGAGCTCATTTGAAGTGCTTTATATACTGCTGGGTAGTTTAATCTATAATACTTCATCATTTATTACTTGATTTATATTAATAATCAGGAACTGCAAAGTAAATAGAGCTGTCAAATAAAAGTAGAGGAATAAAAAGTTCAACATTTACCTTAAAGTATAAAGGAGTGTAAAATACAAATACTTAAAAGTACCTCAAGATTGCACTGAAGTACAGGACTTGAGTAAATATACTTAATTACTTTCTAGCACGGATTAAGAAACTTGTGGAGCTTTCTATCGTATCACATGTTTACGTTTCCATTCTTTCTCAGCAGGTTTTATAAAAGCTCTTTCTGCTGAAAACAGCTGGAACGAAACATTAAAGATGCGGAAAAATGAGCTGAAAGAAGCTAAAACGCTCTGTAGCGCTGACGGGGAATTGCAGTCAGATGATAATTCTCACGATTGCCGCCTCGAACGTCATGTGATCCTTTGTTAAGATGAAAGTATTGATTTAAAGCCGGCTTCAAACTCCTAAAATTGCTCAGAAAAAGCTAATTTCAAACGACAGAAAGCTCCAGAACATCTTCTGAAAGAGGTGCGATTGTTTTGTGAACTGATGTTTTCAAAGGTCGAGAGTGAGCTTTCGAAATTCTACATTTTCTGCAGAAATCAATGAATCACAAAAACAAACAGTTATTTTCGAGGTCAGCAGGAAGCTGTGAAGTAAGTCGGCTAATTATTTTAGTTTTGTCGTGTTGCGTTGCGTCTCCAACGTGACTGGTTTTTATTACACAAAGGAGCGCCGTCATTCTGTGTCGCCACAGATGATTGACCAGCACTCCTCCACCTTATTGGTTCAAATACTGACTCGAAGGAGCCTCAATTTCTGACCAGTAGTGCAAATTATCTTCTGGCGCCGGCGGCCCGAGGTGCTCTACTCCACAAACATTCGGTGCGCCTTTTTATTTCTCGACAAGGCTGCTTTCTTTTTACACAAACAGGAGGTTTTACAGGGAAGGGTGAAAATAAAGGCACAGAGATTTTGGTTGGTCCCCCCCCCCCCCCCCCCGCAGACTCTCGAGCAGCAGCCTCGAGAAGTTTCTAGAAGGCTCTGTCGACTGCGATCACCATCAGTACTCTCTACCGCACAGGACACGACTGCTGGCCCTGTGAGCTTCAGCCTTGATGTGTCAATCCAGAGGATATCACCCCTCCCTTCCTCTTCCTCTTCCTCTCCCCTGGGGACCTCTCACAGTCGCACTTCTCCACTCAGTATAAAAGCAGCGGGTCGAAACAAAAAAGCAGCAGCAATAAAATGTCACCTCCTCGTCTTCTATCTCTGAATAAAAAGAAAACCCCCGATCCATTTATAGCCTGGTGGATCACACAAAGTCACAACAAACATTTTAAACATGTTACAAACAAACAGCTACACAAGCAGCGAGGGGAACGGGCTTTTATCTTCTCAAACATCCTCGCCTCTCCACACCGATTTCTTTATCTGCGGTTTGCAGGATTTTCAGGGTGTGACTTTGGAGCGCTACCAGAGACACGGAGGGGACAAACAGGTCCACGAGGAGGGTGAATGATATTTATATATCATCAATATTCCCGACTGTTTAAACAGAGATGGCCTGGCTTCGACACCAGCAGGATGTTTGGTGGAAACGCCTCAGATTAAATGTAACATTCGTTCACACCATCTGCTTTGTCAAATAGAATCGGACCACGTTTGATTTCTGTAGGAAACTGCAGCGAAAATAAAAGTAAAAAAACGTCCAAATTCAGCCCAGAACCAACAGGTGTCACCATCTGGACCGAGTCGGTAGCCGTGGACCACGCTCTCCCTAATTAGGTCGCTGTATTTAACACATGCTGCCTCCATTAGCAACTCGGATTAACCAGGCCAGACGGGGAAGCGACTGCGACGCGATCCATCACACTTCATCGATATCAAGTGCAGTTTGGAGGACACGACCACTTTAACAGGCATTATCTTGGTGCTGTGGCCGCAGGCTTCAACACACACACACACACACACACACACACACACATCAAACAACGACGTAGACGACAGACGACACCTCGCACACACACACACACACATATATTTGGGAGATTTCAAAAGAAAATCTTCAAAAACGCACCAAAGAAATTCAAAGTGTTTCACAAAAGGAGTTCTGTGTCTTCTCAGCAGGGTCGGCCACATCTACCACGAAAAGAGACGAAAGAAAAGCGCTGCTGCAGTGCATTCTGGGGATTTGAGTCAATATTTACAGCCCGTGGAATGATAATGTACCAGTTTTTGTTTTTTTTTGTCTTTTTATTTACGCCCCCCCTCCGATGTCCCGCTGCCACGCTGTGATGTTTATATTTCATAAATCAATACTCCCACTCGTCCGTCTTCATGTCCAGGTAGTTGAGAATGTTCTGGGCAAACTTCACCGCCTGCTTCCGCGCCATCTTGGTGGTCTCGTCGCCCTGCGGGTCCACGGCGTCCAGCGTCAGCAGCTGTTTGGTCAGCAGCTCCTCCAGCAGAATGTAGCTCTTGTCGACCCGCTTGCCGTCGAAGCCCAGCGCCTGGGCCTGGAGGTCCGAGAGGCTCCCCAGGACCAGCCACACGGCCCGGTGCGCCGGGTGCTCGCTGGGGCCCGGCTGGCGGCGCGCCAGGGCCTCGCGGAGGTCCAGGAAAGTGATGATGGCTTGGACCTCCACCACGGCACGGCGGCGGGCCTCTCGGATGCACGGGTTCTTGGCCGTGTCCACTTGGTCCAGGTGGGTGAGGAGGCTCTGGAGCTCGGCTTTGGGCCCGAAACTCAGATCGCCCATCACGCAGTGCCGCAGGACGCCCTCTCGCAGGTGGGAGACGTGAGCTCGCACCGCCTCGATCTCACGGATGGAGTTGTTCTGCCCCAAGTCGTACCTGAGGAAAGAAACACTGAATCACTGCGCTGACAACTCAGACCTGTCATCACAAACAGAGTCCGTACTGCTCCAATACTAAGTATTAGTGCTGATGAGTGCATGAAATAATCTATATTAATGAGGATATTTTCCTACATCGATATCTGATGACTAAGAAATGATATTGATGTTTAAACTAATGCGATGAACTCTTCCAGTGTTACGAAATGCATGAGATCAAATTCTTTATATACGTGTCAAACTAGAACTTAAAATAACTCATTTTGTTAGTTTGTTTTGTGACGGTGTCGTGATAATCCTTAAGAGTACTCTGATGATTTGGCACTGCGCTCCTAAAACAGTCAGCCTCATCATGGATGGAAAAAAAAAAGTTTAAATTAAAATTGATGCAGCAGAACCAGAAATAAGGTATTTTTTTCATTTCATGCATTCTTCTTCTTTGTCAAAACCTTGAGCCTACATTACCCACAATGCAACTAGTAGCAGCTAGCCCAACTGTTCTTCTATTACTACTGGAGCAACAAAAGGTTTTACAACGACAGTAGTCAGTGAACTGACCTCGGTGTTCCCCTTTAAGTTACTTTTGTTGTTTTCACAAAACAAAGTTGGCTTTTCGATATTTAAATGAGCTGGACTTTGTTGCAGTTAAATGTTTTTGCACCAGGAGGCAAAAGGTCTTCTGACATGGAGGAGGCGGAGCAGCTCCGTCACACCAGCCAGAAAAAAACTCAATTTATCCCACCAAAATAAAAGCATCAGTTCAAATCTATGGTACGCTCAGGAGTCAGTTGGCACCTTTTATTACTCGTAAAAAACTAAAGTAAACATTAAAATGTATGTGCATACTGTATCAAACAACCTTTTTTTAAACCATAATTGAATCTCAAAACTCGGCAGCACAAAGAGAGACGTGTGAACAGAGTGGTACTTCTACGTAATAGAGTGCTCGGTAGGCCTGTTATTGCTGTCGGTGCTTCTCTGGGGATGAGAGTCTAATTCACTTGTGACTGTGCAGCACGATTCAAATCAAAATGCAACAACAATCCACCGCCCAGACTGCTGGTGATGCACAACAACATCAGTGTGTACACGTCTTACTTTGAAGAACAGAAAATGTTTATGAAAGTTGTATATCTTAACATTTGCATTAGAGCTGAAACAATTAGTCAATGGACAGAAAACAAATCAACTATTCTGATAATCAATCAATTTTAAGTCTCTTTTTTTTTTTTTTTTAAACAAAAGCGACAAAAACTCTTCGAAGATGTTAAACAAAAGCGACAAAAACTCTTCGAAGATGTTAATATTTAGTCTTTTATGAGAGTAAATCGATTATTTTTGGGGTTTTGAACTGTTGCTCGCACAAAACAAGACCTTTTAAGACTTTTTTTTCTCCATTTCCTGACTTTTTAAAGACCAAAACTATTTGATAAATATGGAAAATAATCCGCAGATTAATCACAAATAAACTATTCATTGTGGCCCTGAACTGCTCATCTCCTTTCTGTTGAGTGAAGCCTACCTGCGTGTGTCTTCTCCCTCCCCCTCCAGGTCCAGATGTTTCAGCAGCCCGTTTATCTCCTCCACAACCTGCTTCCTGTAATTTCTGATCGCCGCGTTCCCGGAAACATCCAGAGCGTCCAGGTCCACCTCCATCTCCGTCAGGATGCGTGACAGGTGGGCGCAGCTGTCCCTGCCGCTCAGGCCCATCAGCAGAGCCACCAGCTGACCGCGCGCCACGCTCACCTTCACCATCACCTGGTTGATGCGGTACACGGCCTCGTGGGTGTCGCCCGGCAGCGGCAGGGAGAGCGTCTGCTGCTCCGTGCGACTCTCGATCACGTCCTGGACGGCGCACATGCGGGTCAGCGCTCGGTAGCGCGCCTTGCGGAGCGGCACCCTCCCCTCGGTCTTGACTTGGGTGAGCCTCAGCACGATCACCTGCAGGGCGTCCACCAGCTCGTCGTTTATTTCCGCCACCCCGCCGGACCGCTGGGGCGCCACCACGCGGTCGTCCACCAGCTGCCGCGCCTCGTTGCTCAGCTCCTCGATGGCCGCGCGGGACGGATGGGTGGCGTTCTCCTCCAGGTAGCGCAGGAGGCCCTCCACCTCCTGCGCCGCTCTCTTCCGCGCCCCCTGCAGCTCCTGCTTGCCCTCCGTGTCCACCTGGTCCACGTCCAGCAGCAGCCGCGTCAGCTCGCGCTCCAGACGCTTGTAGTCGCGGTCGTGCTGCAGGCCGCTGAAGGTGCACACCTGGGGCCCCAGAGACGTCACCTCCTTGTGGACCTCGTACAGCCGCATCATCGCAGGGTGCTGTGGATGATACGGCTGCTGCTGCTGCTCCATTGGATGCTGTTGTTGCTGCTGCTGCTGTGGGCCGCCATGGTCCATCCTCTTCCCACCATCAAAGGGCTTCCCAAACAGGCTGGAGGAAACAGAAAGGAAGCATGAAGGGACGCTCAGAACGATAACACTGACTTTGTTTACATGCACACTGATGTTCCACTATTATTCAGAGTATGACAGTATCAGCCCGAATTTGATGGCTCATGTAAACAACAGATTCCGTTTAGATATCCTGAATTAGACCTTATCCCGAATGGAGCAAGACTTGTGGGATGTACGGCAACATGGCAACGGCGAAATCGCCGAACTTGAGGCTTCAACAAACCAACGGGTGACGTCACGATGACTACGTCCACTTCTTATATACAGTCTGTGGTTGAACACAAAGCTGGAGCAGAGATGCATGCCCAAAACAAAAGCTAACTTTTCTGGTTGGAAGGAGATAAACAGGTTCTTGGATATGCAGAAATATCACAACGCATTCGTTCAACATTCATTCGCTATGTCACCGCTTATTAGCGATATTGTCTGTTTCAGAAAAACGCCAAAAACTGGAATATTTGGTGCTTGTCAACATAGTCGTCATTGTTGTTTTCTGGCCAGAATGACTGGATTTACTTACAGCCAACACTGGTTGAATGAACTAATGTCTGGATCTCTGCCAGAGCAGCTGGCTCAAAGACAAACTCTACAACCTCAGCCAACCATTTAAATCAACAACTCCAGAGGAGAACAACAATGTGCTCACATGCTGCTTAATATGTAAATAACGCCGCATTTCAGTAAATCTTTCTCCTCATTCCTGCGTTAGTTATAACGTATACGACCTTCTGATATAACCACGACGGCTGTTATGTTGCACTGGACACGGTCGCCCACTGGCTCCTTAAAAAGATAAAATAAATCACGAGACGAAAAATCAGCCACGGATAAAGAGTTGTATCTCCGATTTGCAGGCAGTTCTGTCATCCTGAACAAGCAGCCCGTGGGCTAAAGAGTCATTAAACATGAAAATAATCCGTTTTATGTGTGCAGTCCTGACGCTCTGCCACCGGGCTGCCGCTGTGCAACTTGCTGCTGGTCTCCAGGAAGCAAAGAGTTAACCGGCCTCGTCTATCTGGAGGTTCAGTTTGCTCCTGATTCCTTCTGGCCTTTTTTATCAAACTGTTGTAAAAACCGGATTCTGGATACTTAAAATCAGCATTTTAGGTTATTTATGATACCAATACATCAAAAGATATTCATCTTTTTACGCTCTAGTAGATGACTGAGTTGCAAAATCAATAAAGTTAAATGGTGCAGAGACGTATATTCTGACGTGTATTCAGAGTGTTTAACAATAACTTTATTTCACTAAAAAATGTCTGAACAGAGAATCTTTCTTGCACTTGTAACCATAAATAAGAGATCTTTAATCTCTATTCAGACACTTGTTGGTTAAATAATAATATTGCTGTGAAACGACCGGAATGAGGAGCTTCTTGGACTGTTATTCAGTAATAATTTGGGCTGCCCTCTCGTAACTTAACGTAGTTAACCAAGATTTCTTTAGTCTATCGTTTGCTTTTTTTCAAGCTGAATGCATGAAACACATCAGCACATCAACGGAAAACACAGGATTTAAATTGGTGCTTTTGTGGGATTATTTATGAAAGAAACTCACTTTTGCGGATCTGTTTAAAATCGTACGAGTGTTATTCGACTGTGGATTCCTTTGGTCGAGGAAAGTCCTGGTGAACTCTTTACACCCAGGCCTACAGAGGTTAACTGGTTCAGAGCCACTAAAACAGTTCTACGTCACAACCACCCCACTGACATCAACAGTGATACAAACAATGCGTCGTTAGATACTGTAAAAGGTGATTTGCTAGTAAAAAAACCTTTGAATGAATCCGTTTTTATTTCTTATTAGATTTGATTAACTCCACATTGTTTTTCTTCAACACATATTTTTATTGCTTCTTATATTATACATATTTTTAGTTTTCTTCTTTTTATGGAGCCTCCCAGCAAAAGCATGTCACACTATTGTACTATATTGTATAAGCGGAGTGACAATAAACGTCTTGAATCTTAAGACGAGACGAGAACAAATGCCCGCGTGATACATTCGTCTGAATCTCAGCCGTCACAGAGGAGTGAACGAGGTTAACCTACATTCGGTCTCTTCTGGAGGAACAGCCCGCGTGACAAACGCTCAGAGTACTGCTGAGTGTTTGTCACGTGATGGTGATCGCTCTGTGATCCACGTCTACGGGATCCGGCCGACCGATCAGCTTCTAATACCGAGGAGGAAATAAACTCACCAACACCCAAAATACAAACACGCTTCAGTTCAGCTCAGCCTCCACAGGAAGAAGTGTGTTGAAGTGTGTCACAGGTTCCTCCAGCTCACAAACGTATTCTTAAAGATTTGATGCTCTTCTCTGTTGTTTTGAGTCATTTTAAAACTTAATATATTAAAGCTCGTCGTTTTATAGACTCAACAATGAATCTACTGATCCAGAGAATAGTCGGATTACCTTGAGCTCATTCTCTGTAGTTTGAAAGAGGAAGGTTGTGTCAGAGGTACGGTAACTTTGCCTTTCCTTGTAGTAGTTTTGCATTTGTTTGTAGTCTTTAAGTATCGATCATTTTTCGTAGTTTTTTGTCTTTTTTTGTGATCATCTGGGTATTCTTTGCATCTCTCTGTAGTTGTTTTGCATCTGTTTTTCTTACGTCTCATAGTTAATTCTTTGAGTAATTTCACATTGTGTAGTTTTGTGTCTTTTTGTGATCGTTTGCGTATTTTTGTAGTCAATTTAGTCATTGGGTGTCTCGTGTGAATCTTTTTGTGTTGTCTCTTCTTGTAGTAATTTACATCATCGTCAGTCATTTTGCATTTTTCATCTCTTTGCAGTCGTTTTGCATCTTTCTGTTTTACGTCTCTTGCAGTCGTCTCTTTGAAGTCGAGTTGCGTCTGTTGTTTTGTGTCTCTTTTTCTAGTCATTTTGAGTCAACTTGCAGTTGATTGCATCTGTTTGTAGTCACTTAGCGTATCTTTGTAGTCATTGTGTCTCGTAGTAGTTGTTTTGCATCTTTGTGTTGTTGTTTTACGTCTTGTTGTAGTTGTCTCTTCGAAATCAATTTGTGAATCTCTAGTTTTGTGTATCTTCTTTGTGTTAATCCTTTTTGTAGTCCTTTTGCATCAATGTATAGTGTATTATAGTATTGTTGTGTCTCTTTCTAGTCTTGTTGACTTCTTGAACCAGAATGTTACCGCTGTTGTTGTTTTGAAGAACTGCACCTGAACTTCACACTGAAGATGAAGAGAGGCCGTCTGGTCCCAAAGCTTCCTGCCAAACAGATCCACACTGACACTCCTGAGCAGAGATATTGTACACAATACGACAGCATACTATACAAAATGTTATGTTTCAGCTGCAAAATGAAGGGGAAGAAACAAATACTGGATTAGATTGGTTGGGAAGATAATATACAGAAATATACTTTGATCAGGAGCAAAAACAAACATGATCAGAACATTCCTGAACTCTACGATGTTAAGAACAGTCACTTCACGCAGAGGCTCGGACCTCTCGGGGCCCCGGGGCCGATCAGCCATCCATCCATGATCACAATGCAAACCTCTAGTCTACTGAAATGAAGAAGCACCTCCAGCATTCACATAAACAAAGAATAGGAAAGAGGATTAAATTCATCCCAACATTTTCACAAACGGCGACATCAAAGTGAACTTTCTCTATCTGCAGGGTGAACTGTAACACAGCGGATTAAGATGAGGAACGTATTGTAGGTTTAGCTCAAGGGACAAGGTTGCATCACGAGACAGGCTGTCATCAGTCGAGGGCCCTGAAAGCATGATGGGATTGTTGCATACGAACACAAAGCCCAAAATATTTGTTTTGTGATTCACAGCATCAATAACACTTATTGGAATAGACAGGATTATGTTATCAGCAATCCCTAAAGTACTTTTATGTCGGAGGGAGAAGAGGGCTGGGCATTTCCAGAATAGTGGATGGACGCATGTCGGAGCCAGAGTTTACAAATCGGGAGTATTTAACAGGATAATCTCAGCTAAATCCACTCCAGTCTGACAAACACCTCATCCCTTAAATTGATCCAAGAGAGACGCAAAAGGGAGGCTGCTGTGATGAAGCTAAGAATAGGTTTGCTAGTAAGAATCTTCCCTCATGAGTCACAACGAGCCCAGAAAACGTACAAGCACCTTCCTGCACGGCTGCATGATGCACCGGTTCCTGCACGGCTTTGCGCATTATGTCGCCATACAAAATCCCATTTGGCACAGCTGGTTTTTGCGAAGGTAAACGTATACACACAGTCAACACACCTCCGGATCTAACGGCTGCACGAAACACCTCGAAGCATCTACCTGTCAGCTGTGTCCTCTCGCACACATACAAGCAGCATTATATATATTTATATATATATATTTATATATATATATATATCTCACCTTTTCAAAACTCCGAACACATTCGCGCACATTTTTTAATGGATGTCTGTTTCCATCGGCCACAGCAGGGCGGGTTCGTGGAGCCAAGTGGCATCCAGATGGATCACCAAAACCAAATCTCTCTCCTCAAAAACGAGAGAGAGAGAGAGAGAGAGAGAGAGAGAGAGAGAGAGATATGCTCCGGTCAGCTTCAGCACCTAACCGACCTACTGTCTGACTGCTCTCCACGTACAGTACTCTGTGAATGCCATTGTGTCCGTGTGTCGATGCGTTAAGCTAGTTCCACATGATCACCTGACTCAGCCCCACCTTTTAGCCCAATAACTCCAGCTTTTTTTTGTTTTTTTTAGGTCTTAATAGACAAACAGCACTAAGCCCCTTTAATGGTTTTAACCCTTACCTGCATAGCCAGCGTACAGCCATCTGAAAGGTCCCGGAAAAGTGCGCACCTCGCCCCGATTAAAGCTATAAACATTAGCTTACCTAAGCTACCTTCTAGTTACTTTCCGGTGCTCACGCGTAAGAACTAACGCGGAGTTTATCGTCGCTCATTTGGGGGTAGATAAAAACTGTTTCACCGGTGTTTGTTTCACTCGACGGTTACGAGCTGTTCGTGGATGAATAGTTATCGTGTTATAAATCCACATCGACGGAGAACAAACGTCACGCAGGTGTCATGTTACAGCGGATTGACTTTACTATACTATTTTCTTTAACGGAGGGCAAGTTTTGGTTGTCCAACATAGAGTGCGCTCCATTTTGATCGTGTGGTCGTGCCGTTGGATCGTAGCGGCAAGGGCGGGTATGACGCTCGCTTAGAATTCACCTAAATAAATTAAAAATAGCAAAAATTTGGATTTTGTTTTTGATTTATCGTTTTAACATTGTTTTGTTTTATCGACGAGGTTTAGAAAAAAAACTGTTATGTCATTAAAAACGTCACATTATCCAACTTCAACAATGAAAAGTGAGTAAAGGAAGTCGAGAGCCGGAAACAAGACAGCTCTCCTTCAAAGTAAAAGCGTTTTCAAGTTTTCAAACGTATTTGCTCCAGCGATCAATTTAAGGAGAGATAAATTAAATGAATAAACAAACATAATAAATAATTAACACAATATATAACTTTTGATAAAGTCATATTTCTGCCACTTTCCACACAACGTGAATAAACTGCCAATGGGCGCAAAACACTGAATTATGTTGTTTGTAACAATTCATTATATCATCAGTTTATTTATTTAAATAAAGGCTTCTTAAACTATTTGGGTGAATGTTACAGGCTGTAGTGTTGAGACTGTAAAAACACGTGATTTGCCCAAAAAGTAAAATCAATCAATTGAAGTTTATTTACTGTTTGCACTTTTAACTATTCTACATCAATAGTAATAGTAATAGGGTTAGGGTTAGGGTCTTCGGACCGTACAGAAGCTGTTGCGCTTTTAAAAAAAAAAAACATTTGTGAAGTGGAGAGCCCGGGTGGTTGAAATTGTAACGTAACTATTACTTTTGTGACTTCAAGAACTTTTTTAATAACAGTAGCTGTGTACTTTTATTGAAGTGACATTTCGTGTGCGTGTGTCTGAGGCACTTGACACTTGCATTGAACACTGTTGGTCTCTACAGGAAATAGACTCCTTCAAAATAAGACAGCAAACTACACCTTCATGTCTTAGCTACACGTGTAAATAAAACTGAAACACAATATTGTTAATAATCTAATAATCTAATAATAATAATCTATAAATCATCTGACTAATGTGCAGTTTGCTTGCTGACAAACCAATGCACTTACAACTTCCCTTTCTGAATCAGTTTATGTTCCTTCCAAAGCTGCTTATATGACAACACCACACAGGTGCACAGCTGCTGCTTTGACATGAATGAGGGGTCAGAGGTCAAACAGTGACCTCACAGTTTTGACAACTTGTGGCCATCAGCAGGCCTCACACATCTGGCAGAAAGGCATCACTCTCTGCGTCACTGCTGCTCTTGGTGAGGTCCGTGTGACTCAAAAAATCCAAAAAGTAATAGAAGCAGGAAAATCACTTAATTTCACACTTCAGATAGCTTTCATGTTAATAGATGATAGTCATGTCTGATTATTGGTTTGCCGAGAGACACTTTCAATCGGATGAGATGCAGATATCATTTATCAGATTTAACTGAACAGAAAGGCTTTAAGTGATGTTTTTCTTTACATAGATCAAACAAATTTTACGAAGAATTTTCGAAATCTAGCCAGAGAGTGTTTGACCAATAAAACACATTTTGGTAGATGCTGAAGGGTTGCACGGTGGTGTAGTGGCTAGCACTGTCGCCTCACAGTAAGAGGGACCTGGGTTCGATTCCTGATCCCAGGTGGTCCTTCTGAAGTTTGCACGTTCTCGAGAGCTGTTGCCCGTTGCAGCATGGGTTCCCTCCGGGTTCTCCGGCTTCCTCCCACAGTCCAAAGACATGCAGCTTAGGTTATTTGGAGACTCAAAATTGCCCGTAGGTGTGAATGTGAGCGTGAATGTCTGTCTCTATATGTGCCCTGCGATGAACTGGCGACCTGTCCAGGGTGAACCCTGCCTTCGCCCAATGTCAGCTGGGATCGGCTCCAGCACCCCGTGACCCTGAACAGGGTAAGCGGTTTGGATAATGAATGAATGAATGAAGGAGAATGAGCTTTTTTTAAAGACTGATAGCGCCATCTTGTGGCTTAATTAATCAGTTTAACTAAGGCAGTTAAAAAAAGTAGATCACTTGTCAAATATATTTAAAAATCACAATTAGATAGAGCACATGAAATAAATTGGAATATAAAATACTAAAGCGTATGGGCCTCTTCAGACTGGATTCAAGAATCCTGCTTTGTCACTGTGTGTGTGTGTGTGTGTGCCTGTATGTGTGTGCCTGCTTTAGGTCACATTGACACCAGAATGTGAAAAAAAACTATTAAATCAATCAACTCTTAATTTTCTCTGTGCAGCACGTAGCAATGCACACTTTGATTGGCTGTTGAAACAGCAACGCCATCTTAGTCTCCAACAGAACAAGAAATACAAAGTCCAGTAATCCATTCTGTAAAATAACTGATAATTCATCTGTTTGAACTTTAAAGGGGACAAAATCATTACCATTTACATATTTATCTGGAAAAACTATTAACATTCTGGTAATTTCCTACACCAGTGACTCAAAAACTGAATACACAGGAAGTCATTGGATTGTTTACATCCTGTTCATAGCTGTAGGCATCCTGTAGTCTTCAGACCACGTTCGGGTATCTATGGCTGAAGAAATTGCGTTTGCGTTCTTGATCGCCGGTGAAGATGAGGCAGAAGAGATCCCTCTACTTTCCACCAAGTTGGACTTGGACGGAGAAGGTGATTTGTTTTATGTAAATATTTAAAATGAACCAGAACATATGGCCACGGTTACAGTAAATTTAGTATCGTGTCCTCATTTTTGATGATTCTCAAGTTTTAGGCAAATTATAAAACTAAAACCAGTAGAATAATCAAGGACTGTAATTTAACACAATTCGTATTTTTATTATTTCATAAAAAGGATGGCATTGTGGTGAAACATGGTTTTCATAATTCAAAAACTGCTCCCTATATGGTTAAAGAGTTCTTTAGAATCAGCTTCATTATTCTTCTCCTAGGTTGGTTCCAAAAATACCGCATGTTGTTGAGGAGGTCATCCCTCTGTACAGAGCCACTGACTTCAGAAGTAATTTCAGGCTCTCCAGAGGACAAGTGGAGGTAAGCTTATCTACAGCATTTCAATTCTAAATATAATCACTGATATTCGCATGTGAGTTTGAGTCTCTTCTTTGCTAACTAGGACCTTATGACCATGCTGGGACCACACTACATGAACAGACAGCAAACCAAACTACATGTCTGTGGACTCTGACTAACCAGGAGTCGTATAAGGGTGTGGCAGACGGATTCAACATTTCAAAATCTACACTTTCAACACATCTCCATCACTTCTGTTCCCTGGTCGCTACACATCTGTCTCATCGCATTTTGCGGCCTACAGGGGAAGCACTCCACACATCCCAGTTACACTTTCAAACAGCTGGATTTCCAAATACAGTCTGTGCTGTCGATGGGTGTCACATTGTTAAACCACATTGCAACAATCCCATAGCCTGTTATAACATGAAACAATTCTATTCCATCCTCACCGGATTCTGAGACAGTAAACGGAGCTTCTGTCACGTAAATGTAGGTCACCCTGGTAGTTGGCATGATGCCAGAGCATCGAGCAACACCGATGTTCCACGGCTATTGGAAGAGGATCCTCAGGCCCTGGTCCCAGAGGGAATGCACATCATCGGTGATTCAGCTTATCCTCTGTTTCGACAACCGATGAAACCCTACCGGGATAGCACCTAACTGCCAGGCAGCGGCGCTTTGTAGAAATCACCTGCTTCTGATCGTGGCCAAGACCAGAGAGATGGTGGTAATGGTAGTAATTTTACTCTGTTATTTGCATTGTATATACTGTGCATTTTTATACTAAATATTGTATCTATCTATCTATCTATTTAATTTTTTTTTAATGGAACGGGTTTAATATCCAGAATATCATTTTTGTTTCTTTATTATTATTTAATTTAATTTATAAATAACATTATTATTGTGTTTAAATGATAACTGTCATAAAGTCA